CCCCCCCCGCACCAACGTTGTAAAGTCGAGCCAGATTCTTGATCAAATTCAAATTCACTAATTTGGGGTGGAACATTTGTTAGGTGAGATGAATGTTTCCTGTTTTACCATATCAGGGAGACTGTGTGACTGGAACCAATGAGACTGACCCCTCTGTAACAGGTCCAAAGGGGCTTGGGAAAAGTTTTAGGCCTCTGGCCCAAAGATGATGAGAGACACGTGAAGCCAACCTTCTCCTAACTAGAACCAAGTTACAATGAGCCTGGCTGGATCACCCAAGGCCTAGCTGACTCTTTCAGAGGCATGACTGAGAAGAAAAGGTTACTTTTAAGACTCTGGATTTGGGGTGACATGTTGTATAGTTATTTTATTTTTACTGCAATGATCAGCATTATAAAGTCATCAATTTCACTCCAGATCGTGTACACAGTAAATGTAATCCTAACAACACACGCTGGAAAAAAAAAATCATTATTAACTAATTAACACTTCCTAGAATTAAAATTGTATGTGATATCAACATGGAAATGAAGAGAAATCACACAAATAGGGTAGCATGTTAAGGTTTTTGTCTTCCTTAAGGGCAAACAGATTAAGTTTCTAGATTGGTCAGAAAAAAGAAAAGAGAGAAAGAAACCTAAGTATGGCTCTTGGTAAGTTTGGAGAAACAGAAAAGCAGAATTAAAGACACAGCATCCAATCAGCTAAAGGAAATTCCAGTGGACACACATACAAAAAGAATCTCCTTGTAAAGTGCTATCACTAGAAGTGTAGACAGAATCACTCGCCAACAGAAGCAACAAGAGCACAAAATTTCCAGAATTTTTCCAATTAACTAAGGGCTTCCACAATCAAAAGGACATTTTTGTTTGTGTTTGTTTGTTTTTTTGGTCGGTCGTAGGTCTTGAACTCTGGGCTTGGGTGCTGTCCCTGCACTCTTCAGCTGAAGGCGAGTGCTCTACCACTTGAGCGATAGTGCCACTTCTGGTTTTCTAGTGGTTTATTGGAGATAAGAGTCTCACCGCCTTTCCTGCTCAGGCTGGCTTTGAACCACAATCCTCAGCTATCAGCCTCCTGAGTAGCTAGGATTACAGGTGTGAGCCACTGGTGCCCGGCCTCAAAAGGACATTTAGTAAGAAGAAAAATGACAGCCAAATATGGTAGTGCCTACCTGTAAATCCAGCACTCAAAGAGACAGAAGCAGGATCAGGAGTTCAAGGTCAGCCTGGGCTACATAATGACTATGCCCTCTCCTCCTCCACCCAAAAGAAAAAAATACAGAACCTCAGTAAAGATTTGGTGTTTTGACTTTCCCTGTTCCCATCCCCCTCTTCTGGACCCACAGTACCCTCAAAAACCAGAAGCCCCAGAATCATGGTGAAATTCATCAAATGCTACCATCAATCACAGTGAACATCAACAACCCTGCAATCGTGGTGGAAACCGGCAGCTCTGAAGCCACTGAAGGGGGACAGGTGGATTTGGAGCTGGTTGGAATCTCATTCTTTGAGAATCACCATTATTTGACCGTCTGGCAATTGTCTTGCTGGTTTTTATTTGACCTGACCCTTTTCCCCTCAGGGACATTTGTCAAAAACAATTACAGGCAATTATTTCAACCTCACAACTGCTGGAAGCAGTGATAATAGTTGTGTAAAGAAGAAGCTGGTCCAAAAAGATAAAAAAAGGAAAGTCGGTGGATGAAATATCAACAAGGGCCTTTGAAGAGCTTTGACACGCCTGGTCTCAACTGCATTGTGATGTGGGATGTGTGCTTACCCAGAAGGACACAGGCAGTGCTAAGTTTTCAGCTCTGACTGACTTACAGGCTTGGGCAAGTAAAAAGTGAGAGCCAAAGTCATTGTAAATTGAGTCCCAGAAGAATGAAGACATAGCTCAGCACACATGCATGTGCATATGTGCATAAGTGCATGCACGCACACACACACACACACACACACACACAACACTCAGTAAAGGCTGGGAGACTTATAGGCATTTAAGAAACTCTGTCTAGTCACTAAGGACTACTAGGAACCCACACAGAGATTCCAATGACCATCTAGCAAACCATGAAAGTGCTACAAAATTAGGCGCAGGTATGGTGGCTATAATTTCAGCTACTCAGGAGGCAGAGATTAAGAGGATTCAGGCTAGCCAGGGAAAAAAGTTAATGACAAGCCATCTCAACCAATAAACTAGGAGTAGTAGCAAGCACCTGTCACTCCAGCTCTGTGGGTGGTATAAATAGGAAGATGACAGCCCAAGCTGACCCAGACAAAATAGTAAATAGTAAAAAAGATTTCAAACAAACAAACAAACAAAAAGGCTGGAAGTGTGGCTCAGTGGTAGAGTACCTCCCTAGGAGACATAAGGCCTTGAGTTCTAATGCCAGTACCACCAAAAATATATTTTTGAACTCAATTAACACAAGAAAGTCATTTCTCAAACAAAAATTATGATAAGAAAAAATCCATCTAATTGTAATCCCTGTATACATCATCTTTACAATAAAAATAAATTGTTTAAAAAAAAATCATCAAAGTAGCAAGAACAACAAATCCTTGAAAGAAAAGAGGCATGGAACACCTCATCCTGGACTAAAACTTCCAAAATGGTTAACCAAAATAAATCTTTTTTTTTTGGTCTGTCATGGGGCTTGAACTCTGGGCCTGGGTGCTATCCCTGAGCTCTTCAGCTCAAAGCAAGCACTCCACCAATTGAGCCACAGCATCACTTCCAGTTTTTTGGTAGTTAATTGGAGATAAGAGTCCCATGACTTTTCTGCCCAGGCTGCCTTGGAACCAAGATCCTCAGATCTCAGCTTCCTAAATAAATAGGATTGCAGGCATGAGCCACCAGCACCCAACAAATCTTTCATTTTTTTAAGTTGACTGCCTCCAGTGGTTTGGCATAGCAATAGAAAGCTAATAACACAGGCTATGTGAAGCAAATGAGCTAAGCTGGAGGAGGGCCCTTGCACTAATGGAGGGTGACTGTATCACCTGAATGAAGACATAGGATCAACTCTGTTTTGTGGTCTTCCCTGGGAGAGGTGTGCACTTAGGGAGGGATCTTGAGCTGGATAACTAACAACTTTATAAATCCTGCTCAGAATGAATGTGATCCTGACAGCTATATATCCTAGAAGTGTCTGAAAAGTTCTCATGGGAGCCGATGAGCGGACAGAGAGGCTGGGGTAGCAGCATTCAAAGCAAGCCATGCCAAGTATACACATGTACAGTGGACCCCACGGCATGAGGCCAAACATGCCCTGCTGAAGGTGGGTGTGGCTCACTCTATGGACACCAGCGGCATTGGATGGCTTATCACCCCACCCTTAACTCTTCCCTGATATTCCTGTACCCAGCAGCTCCCCATAAAGAAAGTCCAGTTGAATGTGCTGGGGAGTGCTCAATGCCACCATGGTTGAAACCACCTTCCACATGTGAATGTGGTTTGCACCAGCTGTCTATCCTTGGTGGCCAAGGATTCTGCCTTGCAGCTACCACTCATAAGGCATTCAAGCAAAACCTCCCTGATAATATGTGGTTTTAATTTTTCATGAGATTCCCCCATCCCCATCGGCAAAGGACTGGCTTCTCATAGCTACCTAAATACTTACATAGGATTTTCTCCTCTTCTTGTCTCGTGCTAGATCCCCACAAATAGATAATTACTAACTCTGGGATTTTGGACACAGTCACTCCCTTCCCTGGTGGAAACTCTTGAACAAGTCTTGCTAAGATCCTTGCAAAGACTCTGGGACTTGAGAAGGTTCTGTTTTCTAGGTGTGCCACAAGCATTCAATGTGTATGAGTCTGGTGTGTATGGCAACTTGGGCACAGGTTGCGAGGTCAGGTTTGCGTTGGGAATAACAAGTCAGTCTATCACTGGGTGAGCTTAGTTCCATTGTCTACATAAACCAGAGGTTAGAGCTCCACCTCCATCACATATTCATGTGCAAAAACTGAGGCCAAGAGTCTGCCATTTGGAGCTCGGCCTTAGCGCCATCTTCCTAGGAACAACTGCGCCATGAGAGCCAAGTGGAAGAAGAAGCGAATGCGCAGGCTGAAGCGCAAAAGAAGAAAGATGAGGCAGAGGTCCAAGTAAACCAGCTTGTGCACCCGTCGAGGCCAGAGGAGCAGGAGGAAATAAGGAATGCCGTAGGCTGGGACGCTGAGTTTGTTGGACTGCATGCCGCTGTGATTTCCCAGTGGATCTAGAAACTTCCATCGCCAAGATCGTCTCTGAAAGACACACCTTGCTCATAACCAAGCATCCCCTGATGGTCCTGTGCCCCGGACCTGTGACATTCTGGACTAGTTCTGTTCATAGTTGTGACCGAGTGTGACGCGTGTACAATAAACCATCTCTTTTGCTGTTGCAAAAAAAAAAGAGTCTGCCATTTGGAAAACACTCCATAAAAGTTAGTTCCTCCTCCTTCCTTTCTATTTAGGGAAACAAATTTGACAAATATTTACCCACTGGGGATTTCAGACCGTCTGGCTCAAACCTTCCCTTTTTAAGAATCAACGAACAAACTCAAGTGCAGTGCCATAACTAGAAAGAAATTCCTAGAACAGTCTAAATTCTTAGAGGCTGTTAATAAACCATTGGGATTACATGTTTATTTTACTTAGATTGGACTTTTTGATAAAATTGAATAGGGAGAAAAACAAAATCAAATATACTTCATGATGTCACCTTCTAAGAATAACCTTTTCCATTAATCTTGAGATGAAAAAGATAATATGTACTTTTTTTTTATAAATCTAGTTCTCCTACTTAACTCCTTAATCCTGCTCACGTGGATTTTTTGCCCCTCCTACTCTCAGATCAAGGGCAGATTCTGATAGGAGACGATATTACTAGTAGGTTCAGCAGAGTTGAGAGAAGAAAATGAGAGGAAAAATTATCAGTCCTCTTACTGATCCGTTGACCCAGCTTTGTTAGCATTTAGGACAGTGATCACCAGTCTTAGCTTCCTGAAGCCATAAATGCATTCTCCATGTATTAATACATGCATTAATATATTCATTTTGATGAAAACATGCATGTATATATAACTTTTCAGTACTCATGTTTGAACCAAGGGCCTACTTGTTAGGCAAATGTTCTACCACTTAAGCTATGTTCTTGGCCATGGAAAGTATTTTCTTAACAAAACATAGTATCTAATGCACTTAACTGGCATTTTTCAGGAGTTTTTTTGTGCATGTGTGCCAGTCCCAGGGCTTAAACCCGGGGCCTGGGCACTGTCCCTGAACTTCTTTTGCTCAAGACTAGCACTCTAACATGATCCACATTACTTTTTCTGAGTAATTTATTGGAGATATGAATCTCACCGACTTTTCTGCCTGGGCTTGGCTTTAAATCATGATCCTCAGACCTCAGCCTCATGCGTAACTAGGATTACAGGCATGAGCTAGCAGCACCCAGCTCAAAATTATATTTTTAAAAACATAAGCAATATATAAAGCCTTCAAAATTCAAAAAAGTCCCAAAGGAGATTTGTCAAATTTTTGTAACGATAGGCATTTGTTGATAAGAGATTTAGAAGGACTTCTTTTGTTGGTCACGGGGCTTGAATTCATGGCTTGGGTGCTATTCCTGAGCCCTTTTTGTTCGGGGCTAGTGCTCTACCACTTTAAGCCACAGCACCATGTTTGGCTTCCTGGTGGTTGATTGAAGATAAAGAGTCTCACAAACTTTCCTGCCCAACTGACTTTGAACTGCAATCCTCAGATCTCAGCCTCCTGAGTTAGCTGGATTACAGGCGTGAGCCACCGACACCCAGATTTAGAACTTTTCTTTCTTGATATCTGTCATTTTTATCATAAGAATTACAGTAGATAACTTTTCTAATCATTAAAAATACACATTTTATATAAGGAAGCCAACAGAGATACTATGCGGGACCTTTGGGTCTGTGAAATGTCAGGGAATGGGACAACTCAATAGTTTGCCTCAATTTCCCAAAAAGGATGAAGGCTGTCATGTCATCCTCTCCTCCAACTCAAGGGTTCTTCCCCAGATATTGATGTGGCCTGGAAATTACTTTTCCTAGGCACTGATATTGTAGGCAATCACTGCCCTAGGATATATATTCCCTCATTACTGGGGTCAGAGGACGAGGGGAAATCCAGGTACATTTAAGCAAAGCTACCTATAAAACGTTATTTCATAGGTATAAAGCCCTTCATTAAAAGCCCTTCATCAAAGGATCAATTGTCTTATTGTCTTCCCCTTCCCCCTTCTCTTTTCACCTTCTCACATGAGAGAGGGCCTTTTAGGAATATGATTGATTTGGATGAAAGCAAAAATGAGTCGACTAGGCTATCGCTTTATATAAATAAAGCTGCCTCTGCTGCCTGAAGAGTTGACTAGAGAAATATTCTCAGGTGGTCAGAACAGGGAAGGTTCTAGAAACAGAGCACTAGAAAAATCCCACAGTTCTTCACCCTGTGATGTGGCTTGTTTGCTTTACAGGTTTCACGTATATTTGCTGACGTCAGCAGCCCCTCAAAGTTTAAACAAATAATAGTGAAAAGGAAAACAGCCCCTTTCTGCCAGGCAGTCTTGTTCTGCCAACTTCTGTGTTCGTTCTAAGTTAATAAACGTCCCAGAACCAGCTCCCCTACCACCCTGGGGGGAAGAAAAGCACAATAATTTAAATAAAAAAAAAAAACACCGGGTCAGCCCATTGCCAGCATAAACCATTCAGACAAGTAGCATTTGTCACAGTCTAATGAGGATTTTACCTCTGCCTCCAAATGAAAGCTATTATTAACCTTTGGGTTTAAGGAATCGAATGGCTGAGGACAGTGGGTTTCTCTGGTCCCTTCCTTATCTAAATCATGCTCAACACCCAATCCAGAGATGTCTTCGGCACCAGACACAACTGCAAAACCATAATTATGCCAAGTAAGGTCTTTTGAAAAACATCAATTTACAGAACAGCCTTTTAATTCTGACTTTACTTCAAAAAAAAAATCTGAAAACACACACGTGTTGTATAATACCACGGCAGGACGTAGCAGGCGCGTTACTAAAAAAGTTAGGTCAGGAGGGCAGGTTCCTGTTGGCCACTGAGGATCTTGGAAGCAAACAAGCTTCTCCACAAAGCAAGGTCTCTTAGGCTATCTTCACTTGTTGGGTTGAAACTGGAGCCCTTTGCCAGTAATGCGGATAGCAGGCCCCTCACCTTGCTGGCACCACACACACAACCCATTGTGGATATCTCTGCAGGACAGATTAGAGCCACATTCCTCAGAAGTACAGGCCTCCAGGGGGAATCCAGCCAGCAGGCTCCTTCCATGGAGCCCACAACTCCTACAACTGATAAGTTTTAATTGAAACAACGGGCACAATTACGCTGAGTGCCCACTGGCTCTCTCGCCAGCTAAGGGAGAAGGTGTCACATGCCTCCCTTGACTTATGTAGAGCTGTTTGCTAGGCAACAGTAATTCTAGTCCTTAGCTCACTTTAATATACTTTCACTGTTGCCTTTAAGTGCTGTGGTTAATCAACTTGCTCACCTGAGGTTTAGGACCTTTTGGGACCTGATCTGGTAAACACTGTCTCAAATTAAATTTGAACAAAAGTTACTGATTTCCAATCAAAGAAACTGAAGTCAGACTTGGGTTTGGGTAAAATTCATGAACGTCATTGTTGGTTTTAACCATGTCGCTCAATTTAACAGTCCAACACTCTACAGAAATCTTTGCTTTCAAGTCTTTGTTTAAACCAGCAGAGCGCTTTAAAACAGCAAATTTAGATGTGCATAAGGAGTTCTGCAACTTCCTTTTATTTTTTTCTGAAATAACAGTGAGTCAGCACAGAAACAGTACAAACTAAAGGACAACACACCTGCCTTTTCAGGAACACAGCCCCAAAGGCCCAGATTAAATTTTAACCAGGGATTATGTTTGCCAAGACTTCATATCTCAAAAGGGTTATGTTTGGCTTTTGTAATAATAAAATGTTATTTTGGAAGGGGGGGAAAAAGAATCCCATTTTAACACATTCTCTAGTAGGAGGAAATAAGAATTAGACTTCAAGACAGTTTATTTAGCCTTTGAAAGAATACAAAAGGCAAATGACTTAGCAGATGGGTAATTCCCAAATCTGCAGAATCTGTGCCTATGGGTTTGATCAAAGATGTTAAGCAAGGCTGGGACCAACACCAGTGCGTCCTCTTTGGCTAGTTTTAACATGTTTACAGTCACAATTAACATTCAAGGAATTTCCTTTTCATCCAAGTGTTTAAGAGCGCTTTGTGTCTGCCATAAACGACAGTTCTAGCTGTTATCAGTCCTTCCCATATAGAAGAATAGTGAATTCTCTTTAATACTTTTCTCTTGTTCTGAAAATGGGCTTGGACCACGTCGATCTCCCTGGGGTGCTTGTTTTCTAATATAGGAAGGTTCTCACCTCTTCACTTTTTTTCTTAAAAGAATACACACCCAGCTTCCTAGTCTCTCGCCCTCTTCCACACTCACCCCGGAGTCAGAACATCACACAGTCAAGCAAGTGTCCCATACCATTCCCCCATCCCCGGAGGGAACCAGCGCCAGCTCTGCGGGGCGGGCCGGCCGGCCGGGCGGCAGGAGCTCTGGGCCCCGCACCCCAGCCCGACTTCACATCCCTGAGTTGGCCAGACCACTGCGTGTCGTTAGAGAAATGTGTAGGTCTCGTCTCCCTCCCCGTTTTTTCTTACACAAGGGATTCGCACACGGGTACTGAGTCCGAGTCCTGGCTGTGCATTGAGCTGAGCCCTGTATCTGAATCCTCATCATTGCCGGGACAGCTTTTGGCCAGTCCACGGGCCTGGTCCACCCATATGTCCGCGCAGGCGGGAGTCTGGGATTCCCGAGAGGGTCCCGCAGAGTCGGGAGCCCCGTCCTGAACCAGTGTCTGCTCCAAAGTGCGCCAAGTCTGGAGAAGGCCCTGCAGCTCACGTTCCTTGCTGTCCCACTGCTGCTGGCTGTAATCCAAATCCGCCTTGACGGCCTCCAGGTCCGTGTTCAGCCGGAGCCCGATGTACAGGCTGGTGCTGAGCTGCGTCCTGACCCGCTCCTGCTCCAGCAGCAGCTCGCCATCTGAACTGCTGTCGGGCTCCGGAGGTTCCTCCCGCGCCGCCAGCTCCTCTTGGCGACGCTGCATCCACCTCTGGTT